TAACTTTCAAACACAAGGCTCAAGAGAAGCATGAAAAGGTAAACAGGAAAGAGAAATCAAAAGGTACTTATTAAAGTTGAACTGTTTACATTCCTACATGGAAAGATGATATTTGTAACTCATAAGACCTTTCTTATTATTAGGGTAGTTAGAAGGAGGCTACAAAGTCAGAGAGCACAAGTGCGAGTTGAATATGAAGGGATGATATCTAAAAAATAAAATTAAGGGGTGAAAGAGGAATGTACTGGGAAAAAGAGAAAGGGAGAGGTAGAATAGGGTAAATTATCACATAAAAGAGGCAAGAAAAAGCTTTTACAGTGGCAGGGAAGAGGGAGGAGGTGAGAGGGAGTGAGTGAACCTTACTCTCATCAGAACTGGCTCAAAGAAGGAATAAGATATACACTCAATTGTGTATGAAATCCATCTTACTCTACAGGAAAGTAGAGAGGAAGGTAACAAGAAAAGGGGAGGTGACAGAAGGGGAGTGCAGATTGGGAGAGGAGGTAGTCAGAAGCAAAACACTTTTGAGAAGAGACAGGGTAAAAGGAGAGAGAGAATAGAATAAACAGGAGGTGGGACAGGATAGAGGGAAATACAGTTCATCTTTTACAACATGACTATTATGGAAGTGTTTTGCATAACTACACATTTATAACCTATATCAAATTGTTTACCTTCTCAATGGGGGGGGAAGGGGAGGAGGGAGAACAGGAGACAATTGGGAACTCAGAGTTTTAAAAATGAATGTTAAAACTGTTTCTACATGTAACTGGGAAAAAATAAAATACTAAATAAAAATTTTTAAAAATGTTTAAAATTCTTTCAACATGTAATTGGGGAAAAAATAAAAATTTTTTTTAAAAAAGGAAGAAATACATCCTATTGAGATCCACCAAAAATAGAAATTGACTCTGTCGTTCAGTGTGTGCATCACCATTGCCACTGCTTAACAAGGCAAATCTCTGTGAAGACATTGACAAACAAAACCATCACTCAAGTGGAGCCCAACATAACACTTACAATGTCAAGGTCAAAATCTAAGACAAGGAAGAAATTCCCCCACATAAGCAAAAATTGATTTTTGCTAAGAAGCAGTTAAGAACCTTTTCTGACTATAACATCCAGAAAGAATCTACCTTGCACGTGGTCCGTCATCTCAGGGATAGGTTATCACACACCCTTGAAGTGGAGTCCAGTAACACCACTGAGAATGTCGAGGCAAAAATTCAGAACAAAGAATGCATTCCCCCAGACCAGCAGAGGTTGGTCTTTACTGGAAAGCAGCTGAAAGATGAGCATACCCTATCTAACTACAATGTCCAGAAAGAATCCACCCTGCACTTGGTCCTGCACTTGGTCCTGCACTTGAGGGGAGATGTCTAAATTGCCTCGTTTCTTTCAAGGTTTTGAATAATTTCAGTGTACTTTTCTTTCAATAAAGTTGTTGCATTCCCCTAACTCCCACCTCAAAAAAAGGAATGCATGTTATCAACAACCATATGAAAAGACTCCAAATCCCTAACAATAAGAGAAATGTAAACTGAAACAAATCTGATTTTGTACACCCAACTGGCAAAGAGAACAAAAAAGGGAAAAGGACAATTGACGGTGCTGGTGTAAGAATAGGTACCTAATACTTTCCATTTTGGAAAGCAATTTGGAACTATAAGCAAAAAAGAAAAACCACTGAATTGTACATATTCTTTGACTGTGAGATATAAGGCATATACCCCAAGGAGGCCAAAGATAAATGGAAAGAACCAATATGTACAAAAATATTTATAACAGCACTTTTTGTTATAGAAAAGAACTGAAAATAAATATCCATTTAATTGGGGAAAATAGTGGGACAAACTGTGGTGTAACCGTGTAATTGAGAATTATTAAAGTAAAGTAAGAAATAATAAATATGATAGATTCAGCAAGACTTCGGAAGTTTTTTATGAATTGATGCGAAACAAAATGAGCAGAACCAGGAGAACAATTTCAGCAATGACTAAAATAGTGTAAAAGATAACCTAAACAGACTTCAGAACTCTAACCAAAATAGCGAATGGGCAATGTTTTGTTTTGCTTGACTACGTCTGTTTGAGGCTGGCATGTTAATGGATAGTGACAGAGACACAAAAAAGAAGACAAAGTAATGATGCCCATATCTATCTAAAAAGAATAATTTTGGGGACTGGCTGGTTTTTGGAAACTGAAAGTTGCTTAGTTTGATTATTTTCTAACAGCTGAGAGGAAAATTCTTCTCAAATATCTGGAAATTTTAACATATGATCATTGCTGAAGATGAAATTTCAAATTAAAATACTATCTTCACATTAATGTGTATTGATGTCTTTAAGGATTTCAAGTCTTTATAGATACTGGTACACTAAACATCCTCTAAGTGGTATCCTGTGGAGATATCTTGTAGTTATGTTTTACCCTTTAAACAGATAAGGAAACTAAGGCCTATGCAGGTAAAAATAATTTACTGAAGGGTCACATTGGTATCCTATTGAGTAGAGAAGTCATTATAAGAAGCCATTATAAAACAGATTTTTAGAGTTGGTATTGTCTATTAGGACATGCTTCAAAATTGTAAAATACAAATGTAACTAAACTTTTAAAATACCATTTGCCAGTTCACAAGAGAAAATTTGCTACTCAAAGAATTTCTGTTATTGAATGAGTGGATGGATGGATGGTTGAAAAAGCATTTATAGACTCTACTATGAGTAAAGTACTGGAGCTATAAATTAAAAAGTAAAATAATCTCTGCTTTCAAGGAGCTCGAAAACATATAAAGGATAATTCAGCTCCAAGTCAGATGGAAAGGCCCAGTGGTCATTAGGGTGAAGTATCAAAGCAGATGCACTATTATTTCCTTAATAAAACCATTCCAGCTTTTGATGTTGAATCATTTGACAGCACCAAAAACTTTGATGATAAGAAACTTCTTATCCTTCACTAGCTTTGGCTGCTAAGGATATGGGTACTGTGGCCTTTGCAGGTATTATTGCCAGATTGTACCTCCACAAGGGTTGCTTCCCTGGACTACAGTTGCTAAAGTCAGACTGAAAAGCAAGCTGGTGTTCTGGAGGGGACTCCTGTCCCCAGGGATCAGTTAGCATACCTAACATTCAGTGGCAGTCAGTCAGCAGTTGGTGTTAATATTGGAGGTGAAAGGGATGGCAGGGCATTTCTACAAGGGTTGCTCCCCTGAATAATGACTTCAAGAGTCAAGTTGCAACCAGGGCTAATGGTCTGCAGGGCACTGTTATTCTCAAGGCTCTCAGGCTGTCTCCATTAAGGTCCAAAGGGAGGTAGTGGTCAAGGTGGTAACAGCAGTTTGACCCACATGGCACATGCTTCCTCCCCTCTATCCCTACAAAATGACTTCTTGGATACAAATTTCAATTATTCTAAGCACATTAGAATTAGGTTTGATTATTCAGTAACTCTGCTTTGCTACCAAAGACAATTTGTAACTTACAGATAGGACAGGATTGGTAGTTTTAAGCCAAATTAATTTGAAAATGAAGCAAAATGCCAAAGAAAATAACTGTCAAGATGAAATATATTAAATTATTTTGTCCTCTAAGACAAAGGTACTCTCTGGCATGCTTGCCAAGGTGCTATAAATACACCAAAAAACAGCAACCTAACAATTATTTCCTGTAATTTCTAATTTAAAAAATGTAAATGTAACGTACAGCATGGTATCTAATCTCATTTTCTACACAGCACCTTATCCTTGTAACACACTCATTTTATCTACTATTTGAGGAGACATTTGACAGAGTAAAAAGGGCACTGGATTTGGAATCAGAGGACCTGGATTGAAATGCCAGTTTAGCTATTTATTTCCTACATGGTCTTAGTCTGGTTATTTAGCCTCTCTGAACCTCAATTTCCTCATCAATAAAATGAGGCTAAATTACTACTTAGGTCCCTTCTAGCTCTCTACTCATTCTCCCAATTCTCCACCTTTGAATACGCTGTCTCCCATGCCTAGAATATTCTCCTTCATCTCCTTCTCTTAGACTCCGCGACTCCTTTCACAGTGCCAACTCCTACAATATGCCTCCCCTCAACTTCCTAGTTGTGACCATTCTCCTCTCCCCATATTACATTATATTTACTTTATACACCTTTTGCATTTACTTATCTGTGTATATGTGGTTTTACCCTAGTAGAGCATAAGCTCCTTGAGAGCAATGATGTACATGTACAGTACATGGTATACAATGGATGCTTAATAAATGCTTTTGAAATGAAAGATCACATGAAACTGAAAACTAACGATTACTTTGATGATAAGCCAAAGAGCTGAAAAGAGCAAGCTTCAATAGGGTTCTTCTCTTCCTCTCCTCCAATGTGAAGAGAACATAAGTTGTTTTCCTTAAGCAGTGACTATTACAATCATTATCTCAAAGAGCTATAAAGAATTTGTTTTAATTAAATTAACAAAGCATTCACAGAATTGTAAAGAACTTGTTTTAATTAAATTAACAAAGCATTTTTACAATGAGGCATGCACTGGATCTCAGGATTAATATAGCTAATTCCTATTTATCTAGAATTAAAAACAATCAGAAAACTGAAATAATTAAAATTTAAAGAAAAACAAGAAGCTGACATCTTAGTTATTTGATAGGGTCAGTTCAGATGCAGTATACTCTCAATCTCCTACATTTTCTAAAGCTGGACAATATTAACTGTTAACCAGAATAATAACTCAGCATTGTAAGTACCTAAAATATAATCTGAATCAAGGACAAACTAAAATCACAATTGACAGACTTTTAATATTAAATCTTGTTTTAAACAATTATTTTTAAAATAGCGATCAATATATGGTATATCTAGACAGACTGTCCATATAACTTGAATATCTTATAGCTCAAACGATATAAATAAATGAGGTCAATATAACTTTGTTTTACAGAACCCTATAGTTTTATAATTAAAGACAATTGGTAAAACTTTCACAGGATGAAAAAGATAATTACCAGGGCTTGCAACATGCCATCCATCATGATAGTCCCCTCCATAGTCTGGAAGGAAGATTTTGACAATGTAGAAAGGGTCCAATCCAAGAAGTCTGCCATCTTTTTCTGTCTGACATCAGGACGGGTAATAAACCTGTAAAGGAATACAAGCATTTCAAGTTATCAGTCACTAGAAGAATCAGTTTTCTATTTTTTTCTAACTAATATCTAAACTACCTACAACCCCTAATGGCAAATCTTACAAAAATTTTGAAAGATCTCAGTTTGGAGGCAGAAGACCTGGGTTCAAATCCCAGCTTTACTACCTGGGAGAAGATACTTGATCTCCCAGCCCTTAGTTTTCTCATTTATAAAATGACAAGGCTAGACTAGATGCCTTTAAAGTTCCTTCTAGCCCTCAGTCTATGACACTTGATTAAATTAACTTAGGCAAACACATAGCCACTAAAATTCTTAAGAAAGGTTTTGATCCCAAATTTCATATTGTAAGAGGCACCAAGTCAGAGCAGACTTCAATTTCTGGAATTAAATAAATATAATAAGTATTATTTTTTTTATGAGATAGTATGCTGTAATAGAAAAACAGTATGGGATTTGGAGTCAGAGTACCTAAGTTCAAATTCTGACTCTAACTTGGGGCAAATATTCTCTGAGACATATTTTCATTACAAGTAAAATGACAGAGTTGGACCAGATGACCTTTAAGGTCTCTATAGGCTTTAAATTGTGATCTACATATATTTTCCTTAGTCTTCACATCCATTTGTTTAAAGGTCACAGGACTCTACGTATATCATCTTTTTTTTTTCAATCCAAGATTCAAATATAAACTGTGAACTGCTATAATGGACCTCTCAGAATTAAAAAATGAGTCATTTTTGGTACGCATCATACCACAGTCTTAGAAAATGCCAGGAATACAAAGCATGTACCTGAAAGGTGTGGTCAACTACACATTTGAAATATAATCACTGTGACCCCACAGCAAGAAATCAACATACCCAATATTAAAATATTTTTACTTTCCTACATGAAGTCTTTTATGATAGCCCAGATGTTAGGTGCCTCCCCCCCCAACCAAAAACAAAAATTTATCTTGTTTTTCATATATTTATTTTGTACATAGTTTGCATATATATGTATATATAAATTCACACACACATAAACATTTATATATACTCATACAATTTCTCCCCTGATAAAATGCAAGCTCCTTGAGAGAAGAAACTTTCTTTCTATCTTTATCTCTCCAGCACTTAGCAAAGCACATAATTAAGAGCTTAATACACATTCACTAATAGATTGATGGACTTTATCTTTGTTCTAATTGGTCAGTATACATACTTATATCCAAACCTCATTGGTTTAGAGCTAAAAGGGATCTTCAGATCCCATTTTACAGATGAGGAAACTGACGCTTGGTGATATTAAGTGATTTGCCCCATGTCACACTATAAATAGGAAAGCTGCAATTCAAACCCTTATCTTCTGGAATCTATACACAGTTCTTTCTCCACCTCATCATAATAGAGTCATGTGGTCAGTTTATCACAGGTATTAAATTTCAATTTATAGGTTCTTAAGCAAAGGAATAATATCACTGTGAACTAGTAAAATTAATCTGTCAGTAACACTAAATCTTTTTTTTTTATGTTAAGAAAACAAAGGGATCCTGGAAACAATATAATATCACAAGACACCAAATATTGAATATAGTTGATATGGGGTTCAATACCTACTAGTGCCAGGAAGAAATTTTTTAAATCCTCATACTAGAGATTAAAAAGAAATGACTCTAAGGACCACAGATTAAACTCTAGAAGGGACCTGAAAGATTATCCAGCAAAATTATTTTACTTTACAGATGAGGAAACTAAGACCCAAAGAGGTTAAATGACTTGATCAAGACTATGCAGTTAGCATGTAGCAGAGCTGGGATACAGATCCTCTAGGGCCAATAATGATCATTTGGGAACTCAAACAAGACTCCAGAGAACAAGAAAGTCTGAAACAGCGAAAAAAGCATCAGATCAGAGATCTGGACAGAATTCTGGACCTGGTTTTGTCTAAAATTAATTGTGTAATTTCAGCGACTTTAATGGGCTTCAGGTTTTTCATGTTGTGTAACTCCACCATAAAATGTAAGCTCACTGGAGTCTAGTACTGTTTTGCTTGTCTTCATATCCTCCATGCCCAGCAGACTAGTACATAGGAAATAATTCATAAAAGCTTACTTAATTTGTCAAATGTAACATAACAAGGATGGGCTAAATTAGGACTTGACAAATTTGCTTTAAAATCTAGGAGCCAACACCTTTCAGAGTTCAAGAAAAAAATGAAAGGGAGTAACAAGGGAAAAAAGCTAATCATACCCAGGTTGTAGAGCACTAATTCTCAATCTTTAATCAAATTAGATTAACAAAAGAGTTTTTTCAAAGGGTCTTTCTGTGGATAGTCTCAAAATCAAGAGCTAAGGACATCCAACCAGGGTACGTCACATATGGAACCAGCATAGGTTATGATGACTGGGCTAACTGTCCTTCCTATCCTTCAAGTTTGACGCTAGTTCAAAAGCACAGTCAAAGCCAAGATAGGTATGCTGGCAGCTAAGTTGAAGAAGTTCCCAAAGTGAACCAAAGTAAATAGTACCATCCTCTGATTTGGCCTTCTTCTTTTCAAGGTATCTTGATAGTAAAGCACAAAAATGAAAGGATTAATCAATCAACAAACATCTATTAATTGCCTGCTCTGTACCAGGCACAGTACTAGGTACTAGAAATAAAAAGTCAAAAATGAAATAGTCACAAGGTATATTCTATTCAATTCTATAATTCCAGGAGATTATGACAAAAATACCAGGCTAGAAAATTAAATTTCTACTCTCCTACATAACCTAGTACCCAGAAAGTTGAGCCCTGGATTAGATTATTTTTAAAAACCCATACCAATTCTAAAATTCTGTCATCCTATAATTTATGAAACAGGCTGATACTAATGCAATGCACAGATCAAGAAAAATCTGAATTAAATTTTTAAAAATGGGAGTTAAAGATTATTTTACATGTAATTTTAAAAAATAAAACTTTTTTTAAAAAAAATAAAACTGAGTATTCAAACTCAAAATTTCAAAAAGCAAATGTTAAAAATTGTTTTTACATGTAATAGAAAAAATAATTTTTTAAAATGAAATAAAACAAAAAAAAAGGTCTGAATTAGCAATATATACATACCCCATCAACAACTACATAAAAATAACGAATAACAGCAACAAAAAGTAGAAGAAAAAAAGTTCAGAAAGGGACATAAGAGCAAAAAGAACATTTCTTTTACCATATTAACTTTAATATGCACTTTTAACAAACTATAAATAACATTTACATCTTCATGTTGATTTTTCTGTGCATGTGAATTTTAGTTTTTATTCACAATTACTAAGCTTAGAATAATTTTCTAAAACTTTAAATAGTCACAAATTAGTTGCACACAGAATCACAGGGGGAGTTTTCTTTTTTTGTGTCATCATATGACTGCAAAACTACAGAAATAGTTTTTCACCAATAAGAAAGTCTGGCTATAAATTTTTTAAAAGAAGTGTATATAGCTACATGTTTTTCCCCACTAGGTGGCACTACTGTATTTCACTATATATCCCATTCCCTGGCTCATTCTTCTACACTGAAACTGTCATTTGAGGTTTTGTTTGTTTTTTGTAAAATGCATTCCTTATTAAAGGAAAGGTAAATTTATTTATAAAGCTGACACAGCCCAGTTCAGACATAGTACTGTTGAGCTTTAGAGGGGTATAAGCACATAAAACCCCCTTGTTTTTAAGAATGCTGATGACCAAGTCAGATATTTATTTGATTTGACAGTTTCAACTAAGAGCACTATGCCAAAAATAAACAAATCCTCTAATGAATAAACTACTCTAAAGAGGAGTTCTTCAGGGCTCACTGGTACCTGGTTTAAATTAGTGAGGCTTTTCTGTTTGATATAGCACATATATGATGTAGCACGGAACAGCAGATAGAATACTGAATCTAGGTTCAAATCCTTCCTCTGACATGGTCCATCAATAAATAATTTAATTTCTCTAGGTCTCATAGGACTGTCTAGGACTAGATGGGATACAATCAGTTCTGATAGAGGAAGCTCCCACAGAGAAAAAAATCACAGATCCTTGACATATATTGTGTGTGTACACATCAACTAACTGAGGATACAGGCAATAGTGAGACTGACTTACTTGGAAATAAGGACAGCAGCCGCATCTCGAGCCTTATCACTGACAATCAAGTAGGACTAGAAAATGAAAAAAATCTTTTGTCGATAATCATTTGGGCCAAAGACAGAAATAGCCACACAATACTTATAATAAATGGAAAACAATCAAACACAATTTGACTTTAAACCTTTGAGTCAAAGTGTACTTACCAGTCCTTCTAAAAAACTAAGGGCTAAGAAGTAGACTTCCAAATTCCAAAAGATGCACAAACTTCTGATTTGTAACAAATATTATAGCAAGACTGAAACTAGTTACCACCCTGTGGTAGCCTCTACTTTTAATCACTAAGAAATAGGCAAATACAGGTATTCTATATAACAGAATAGCTAAAAATAGCTACAATTTATGTAGAATATTTAATCTCATTTGATCCTTATAACTCAGTAAGGTAGGTTCTATTTCTCCATATTACAGAGTTAGAAACTGAGACTGAAAAAGGTTAAATGACTTGTACAGCGTCACACAACTACGAAGTAGCTAATGCAGAATTCCAACTCAGATCTTCCTGAGTCTTAAGTCCCATCTACTTCACCATTACTGATTCCATATCATTAGTCAGTCTCTTTACCTTATTCACTTTAATGACCTTTAAGAACTGTTTTCAATTTTTTTACTGTTACAGCAGTTTACTTCTATCATTCTGTGTCAATTATTTGTATGTAATTTATACTTTAAAGCACTTGAGGGGTCTTTCATGAAAAGGTATAATCTCATTTTTGGCAGGGCTATAGGAAGACAAGAAAACATTCACTGGATAGTAAAGCTTTGAATTCCTTTAATCATTCTGAAGAGCATATGAAATTATACAGCAAAAGTTAGTAAAATGTTACTAAAATACTCACAGCCTTTGACCTAGAGACTTCACTAATGGATCCAAGGAGGGTGTTGGCAGCAAGAAAAAATTCTTATGCAGAAATATTGAGGGCAGTATTATTTTTTTAATAACAAGAAAAGAAAGAAAATGTTCTAATGTTTGGGAAATGACAGAAGAAATCATCATGTATGAATATAATTAAATATTACTGCACAATTAAGGAATAACATATAAAGCCATGGAAAAAATTTTTATCAATTGATAGAAACTGAAGAAAACAGATCTAAAAAGAGTAATGTACACACAACAACCAAGCAAATAAACAAAACTGAGGAAAAAAGTTTAAGAAACAACAAAACTCTAATCAAATGTTAGCATTAGTTACCATGTTGTCAAAGTTAAAGGACATACATCTGTTTCCTCGTTACCCATCAAAAAATGTTTTTCACTTTTACTTATAGGAAAGTGTTGTTTGGGTGTTTATTAGTAAGTATGCATTGTGTTAAAACCAAATTTGTCAATAAAATTTTTAAAAAATTTTTAAATGATTTCCTTAAGTATCTTTAAGGAGCAAGAAGGGTCTGAACATTCGTAAGTACAGTTCCAAACTCCTTTTATAAATGTGAATTGTCTATAACTCATACAGATGAGGCAATACTCTCTCTCTAGAGTTGTCTGGGGCAACTAAGAGGTTAAATGACTAGTTTAGAGTCATATGGCTAAATTTAAATTCAGGTCTTCTTGACCCTAAGGCCAACCCTTTAACCATAATGTCATATTACCCATCTAAATAGTTTAAACATTCCCTCTGAAATAGTTATCACTACTAATTTACTTGGCTAATTGCTCAGATCTTGAGCCTTCAAAAATTAATACAAAGGTAAACTCAACTTAGCTCCTACAAGAATTGCACAAATAAAATCACTCTCAATTAAGTTTTCCCTGTACTGAGAACAACAATAGCTTAAGTATGGAAATAAAGAAATTATATGTAGGTTAAAAGAATGTAGTATGCATTTTTACTTCATGCTAAAATACTTTAGATCAAAAAAAAAGGAACCAAGGATTATTAAAGAGAAAATATTTACTTCTGCTATTTGGAGTATGCGGTCCATCGTGGATGTACGAACCTCCCCACCTTCAGAGGTGAGATTTCCATCAAGACGTGAAAGATCAAAAGGAATCAGGCAGGTTACAGAAAGCCACAGCAAAAGCACATATCGGGTTTCCCAAGTCTAAGACAGAATAAAAATGAAGTAAATAAAAGATATGACTACTTACTTAAGTATAAAATAATTAAAAAGTAATTGAATAAAAACAAGACCATAGTATTCTTAGTATGGTTACCATACAGCTACAGGGATAAATAAAATAGAGTACATGAATAGGAGTAATATGAAACAATTCTGAAAAAGTAGATTGGAAATTACTATAAAATTGCTCCAAATCATTAACAGAAAAATGCAAATTATGATAACACTGAGTTTCTACCTAACAACTAGCAGATTGGCAATGATTAAAAAAAGGAAAATGATAATTTTTGAAAGAGATTAATGCATTATCAGTGAAGCAATGAATTCTGGAAAACAGTTTGGAACTATGCCAAAAATCACTAAACTATACAAATCATTTGACCTAGAAATATCACTACTAGGAATAAACTCCCAAAGAGATCAAAGAAAGATGGAAAGTATTCAGCTGCACAAAAATATTCATGATTTCAGCACTTTCTGTTGTAGCAAATAACTAGGAACTAAAAGAGGTGCCCATCAATTTAGGAATAGCTGAACTATGGGTTCAGCTATATGAATGTAAAAGAATACTACTGCACTATAAGAAACTACAAAAGGAACAGACTCAAAGAAATCTAGAATGACTGATATGAACTGATACAATGAAGTGAGCAGAACTAGGAAAGTATGTATACAGTGACTACAATGCTATAAAGAAAAAAAAACGTTAAGAATACTGATCAATGCAAATGACTAATTGAAACTCCTGATAACCATAGATAGAAAATGTTTCACGTTTCTTGAAAAGGAGGTGATGGCCAAAATATGCAGAATGAGACACAATTTTTTCAGGCATGGGCAATGTAAGGATTTTTACTTAAAATTTACTGATTACAAAAGAGTGACTTTTGAGGGGACTCGAAGAGAAGAAATGAGAATGGGAAGGAGTGTAGTAATACTAATGCAAAAAAAAAAGAATAAAAGCATCAATACAGCAATAAAAAAAGGCACAGAAGAGAACAGAAGGCAGTTCATGAGGAAACATAAACTTTGAAACAACATATTAAATTTATTATATATGTACACACATACATATGTACATGTAAATTATATTGCATTTATAAAAGAGAAAGGGGGAGCACATATGGTCGAATTTTTGGTGTCATGTGCAATCCTCTTTATCGACTCGTCTTTGTATAAGGAAATGCTCACAAAGCATCTCCTTCTTTCAGATTAAGAATGGTTAGAGAAGGATAAATAAGCCTGAGAAACAGAAAGGCAAATCTGTTTAGCATAGCAACTTATGATCTTAATGGAAATTTGATTTTACTCAGGATGTTATCAGGAACCAGAACATGTGTAGGAAGTTATGCAAACTACTTAGAGCTCACTTCGGAGATGATCCCTAGTTAACATGAAACTCGTGTCACACCTGAAACCCTGATGAGGAGAATGTGCTATCCAAGATCTTGGGGACTGTTAACGAACTGTTGTTCTGACTCTAACTAACCAGGCATGGTTAACAAGGAACTGATTGAGCTACTGACCCATGACGTCAGCAATCTGCAAAGAGGTTTGCAAGCTGCACCTATGAGCTACAAGAGGGTGTTCTCATGGGAAGGTCAGGAGAACGACTTTTCTGCATGGCTGAGGTAGGATTCTCCTGGCTCATGTTCCCCACTATGACACCTGGCAGACTTTAAGCCTGGCTCAAAGCAGTTGGTCATTATATATACATAAAACTTCTGCCTGGAATTGACATGAATCTAGGGAAGCATCGTTCCCTTACTTTAATTATGTCCCTGTTATTTCATGGCAAATTCCTATAAGTTTTGTAAGCATAAATATCGAATTTATTAAAAAAATAGATTGATGTGGAAACACCTGAGTTATTATAGTAAGATGCAAGTATAAGATTGAGTTATTTGGCCTAGAACTTCAGAATTAAGTATTCAGTCTTGACATGTTACTAGTATATTCCTGTATAAGTCAGGATCCTTTAATTTCTCATAGTAGCATAAGGATAATTAGGCCAGGAGACTGTGGAACTAAGATATTATTCTGTTACTTAGTTAATACTTGGTTAATGTTAAAGTTGTTAAGTTGTCTCAGTTTGATACAATTAATGTTAAAAGAAGAACAGCTTATGACATATTGTAAATGCCTTGAAAGAAGCATCCATTTTAATTAAGGATTATTTATTTGTACATGACTAGAAGTTGGGATTGTTTTAGTATTTGATATGTACTGGTTTTAAATTAACTACTATGTATTGGAGTCTGTTATTAATTCCTTAGTAGAATCTCATCCCCCTGATGGAGGAATATGAATAAGAATGAATACTGGATTAATGCAAGGTATAAAACTAAAAGTAATGCAGAGTGTAAGGCTAGGTTCTAACTTTTCTAATTTGAGTTTCTTAAAATATGACAATTGGCCAAGGTTCCAATTTTGACCTTGTAATAGTGGAGACGTGGGGATTGAGTTAACTTTCATTATTTGCCCTGGTTATTCGCAAGGTAATTTAAAAATTGTGTTCAGAACAATCTTGTAGGAGAATGGACACAAGAAGTAGGATCCCTACAAGAAAAGAGTCTGCTGGACATTGTTTGAACAGCATTTGGACCAGAGGACTTCTCCAGATGATGTCCAGAGTGTCGGACAGCTGTATGAGAAGAGACTTCTGAAGCTTTAAATGGACAATTTATTGTTACATCTGTACTTAACAAGGGGACTGTCCCCTTTTTACTTTGTCAATGTGTCAGTCAATTCTTCCCTTCCTTCTCCCGTATTGTTTTAAGTCCCCAAAAGCCCTTGATGAAATGTTGCCCAACAGTACAGCCCCAGAAAGAATCATCACTAAGGCACTGCAAGGTTTTAACCACTTTAGCTGAGGAGTTGGCAGAGAACTCTTGGATAGATAACTGATTAAAGGGATAGTTAGAATCCTGGTTTGACAAGTGGAAAGGAATGGCTGTATCCATTCAGGAATATTAACTGCTGTAGGATGTTGTATAGTCCCATGTACTAGGGGACTGGTACAACAATTGAAAGAGACATCCCTCACTAAAGATTATCCCAGTAGGACCCACAGTGGGAGTCCAGAGGGCAGGCTCTGGCAATATAAGGATGATGATACCTTATGTATCAATAGGACTTTCCCCAGTAATGAAGAATGTAAGATCATATTAAGGAGATTAGAGGATAAGGAAATTGGGAAGGTGTGGAAACCAAATCTTTACTTAAAAAAAAAAAAAAGGAGAAATTGTGAGAAATGAAAGAGTTAAGTTTCTATGTAAGTAGATAAGAAATCAGCACAGACAAGCTAACTTCTCTGCCAGGGTGGGGGGAGGGGGGAGTGATAACACAATTCTAGGCACATAATGTATGTTAGGGGTGAGGCATATAAGGAAGATTGTAACCCAGAAGGATTAGATCAATCCTGATCTAGAAGGGAGAAGTTAGGCGATTACTGACTATAAAGCTTCCTCTGGCTTCTTTTACACACGCAATTCTCCCCTTCCAAAGACGTATGCCCGCTTCTCCCGAGAATCGAACACTTCAACCACTTTAACAAAAAGTCTTTGAGACACTAGTCTGTGGAACTGAGTCTGGGGTCATCTTTATAAAAATTGTTTGCTGAAATCAATCAAGTTCAGCATATCAAAACATTGCATTTTAAAGTAAATTGGTGTCAGAATGTGGAGGGCTTTAAATGCTGAGCTAAAACAACTGCATTCTGCCCTACAAGCAACAGGAAACCACTAAAGAGTTTCAAGAAGAGTGATATAATCATGCCTATGTGTCTTAGCAGCATAAATTTTACAAGCTGTGTAGAAGAAGAATTGGAATGAGAAGAAACTACAAGCAGGAAAGTCAATTAAGAGACTGTTACAGCCATAGTTCCAGGAGCCAAGATGGCAGAGGAAGAAATAAGTTGCTCTCACCCTCACTTAGCAACCTCTGAAAGGCCAGAAAACGTCACGCCAAGAAAAACCCTGGAACAGCTGAGCCAGCAGAAAGACAGGGGTGCAGCAGTCTTGTAGCCCAGGAAACTTGGAGGATTAATGGGAAAGGCCCCTCCCTCTCTGGGGGAGGAGGAGCAGAACAGGACAGGAAACAACCCAGCAAGCCAGTGGCAAGCCCCACCTCAGCAAACCAGGGGGAGATCTGGAGCCCCAGGGTGGTGGAGCAGGCAAACGCCAACAGCAGGACACCCTGAGTGCCTCAGCACAGGCAGGGGAACCAGTAGACACCAGCTTGGAAAATCACCACCTATGCCAGCATTCTGGAGCAGCCAAATCTCCCAGTGCTTCAGCACAACTCCAGGAGGCACAACTCCAGGGCGCACAGCTCCAGGCTGGCAGACATCCTGTAGCAGCCAAACACTCAAGTGCTTTAAAGAAGCAACAGTGAATAGGCATCCTCCAGGTGCCAGATTCCCGACCCCAACTCCTACAGCCCCAGTGCGGCTGAACCCAGCCAATTACCAGGTAAGCTGCCAGACTCCTACAGCCCATGTGAGCCCATGAGGCCCCAGCACACAAAGTCAGTGACCAGGTCCTGGGCTCCCTCATAAGAGGGACTGAATTCCAGCAGAACTCAACTTTAAAAGCAGGAAATATGGGCAGCTAGGTGGCGCAGTGGATAGAGCACTGGCCCTGAAGTCAGGAGGACCTGTGTTCAAATCTAGCCTCAGACACATAACACTTACTAGCTGTGTGACCCTGGGTAAGTCACTTAACCCCATTGCCTAGCCAAAAAAAAAAAAAGAAAGTCCAAAAATATGAGCCAAATATAATCTGCTACCATTTGTTTAAAAAAAAAATAGGTGTTAACTTCAAAATAAGTATGATACATGATAGTATCAGCTAATGTCAAAATCCCAAGGACAAAATCACACTGGCTGAGGGGAAATACTAACTAGGAAGGGATCAGTAATCACAGCTATCCCTGTCCTGATCTCGCTTTCTGATCCAGATTCCTAAATTGGCAGAACTAAATAGACAGGAAGGAAAAAACTCAGGATAAAAGGATAAAAGATAACCTTTACTTGTCTGGAGCTTATAACATTTAAGGAGCCTGACCCTTTAATCTGAATTAATAGTAAAAAGGTAAATCGCAAAAAAGTCTACCAAATGAGGCTCACTGAGGAACAACACTACAAAAATAAATTTTTTTTTAAATCAAAGTAGCAAAGGGAAACAAGAACAGGACTTCTAAAATCAAGAAGAAAAAATACAGAATAGAGGGGGACAATAAAAAACAAACACAGATCTTGGTAAATAAGAAAAGTAACATCTGCAAACATAGATTTCAAGTGCTGCGTCATTCCATTCAATAACAAGGTAGCATTTTTCTTCCCAAAAGTATGTCTGTTATATTAAGAAGTTAGACCAGAATGTAAAAAAGTAGGTTTTAGAATCATAAAGAAGGTTATTTCCTTCAAGAATTTCCAAAACATAAGTACGCAGTGTAGAAAGATATGGAAAAATGACTCACAAAAAGTTCAAAATAGGAACAGAAAGGAACAATCTAGAGAACATTTTAAAGAGACTAAAAAAAGCTTAAAGGGGCAGCTAGGTGGCGCAGTGGATAGATAACCAGCCCTAAGGGCAGGAGGACCTGAGTTCAAATCCAGCCTCAGACCAAACACTTGCCACTTACTAGCTGTGTGACCCTGGGCAAGTCACTTAACCCCAACTGCCTATAAAAAAAAAACCTTAAAGATACTGTTAATCTAACAAAACCCTGACTACAAAACATGAAAAAATAAACTGTAATTTAAAAATTAAGAGACAGTCTAAACTTCAGAGTAAGTCATCAAGTAGGAGAGGGGAAATCATAGAATTTATTGTAGCAGGTGGTGCATTTTGGATCTTTCAACATAGATTTCCTTTGTAGCCACTTGCTAAACTGTTGATCATTTTACATTGTTTCGACAATTATAAACACACTCACTTCATGGTCTTTAGGATTCTGATGTGTAAACATATCTATAACAGGCTGCACATCAGCTACTTCATGCGGGAACAAACCAAGGAAGATTTTATATCCTCGCACCTAAGAAAGAAAAGTTACAGATATTTAAAAGATAACTAAAGAAAATAAACAAAAGACAATGATAACTTTTCTCAAGATATAACACAAATCAATTTGTAAGCCCCAGGCAGGCAGAATCAAGAGTATCTTGTCATGTTACAATATAATACAGTACAGTACAATACAAATTACCAAATTACTATATAGAATATAATATGCTATCTAATTATACAATTCCAAAAGTAAGTATCACGGAGTACACAGATAAATTCTGAAACAAATTTTGGTTCCAGAATTGTAAAATGTTGATTTTGAGTTCATAATTCTTAAAGTTCTAACAGTGATACATAATTACTTATTAAGATATAACACACCCTCAGGAGAGCTGTTTCAAATACAACAAAAGTTCATGAAAGGCCTTAATAGATGAATGAACAACTAAGCTGGCCCCGCTATCTCCCTACTGAGGCTTAGGATGAAAAGTATACAATTTCCTTCAGCATACTATTAGGGGCATTTAGGATTCTCTCTATCACCACTGAAGATGCTAACCACTTTAGCAGCAATCATTATTTTTTTTTTGTAAACCATTTTGGAAGAAAAATTGACCATGAAAACTAGAACAACTGCAAAGAATCAACCAAATGATCAGCATGCTTCCTCACAATACTACAAATTGTTCATCAGGGTTTGGATATCAAATAATGCTCAGTGAATTATAAAACTTTCTTCAGCTCTACTAACAAACAATAATATGATCAACAAAGTCCATTACTATCATCAATTCAGCACAGGCCTGGATATTACGACAACCTCCTAACTGGTTTCCCTGACTCACTTTGTTTGAATCTCTCTTATATTTATCATATATTTACTATTATGGTTACTTGTGCCAGTGAAGCATCCCCTCAACTAGACTATAAATTAACTAAGGGAGCTTGCTATTTAAAAGAATACCACTGTGAATCCTTTTATTAAGCAAATAATCATTTTCCCAATTATCTTTCATATAAATTCAATGTATTTGCCTACAGCAAGGTGTAACCGTAATACATTATTCTGTAGCAGTTTTATTTTGTTTATGTTTTTTCATCAGGGTTCTAATTTCCCAGAAAACATGTAGTTCTTTTGAACTATCTTAATCTGCCCATCTTCAAATTCCCATTAGGACACTATTTCACTGTATTTATGTATATATCATTACATAACACAAAAAAAAATTAAATACCTTGGGAATTATGAAAGTCAATTAGTCATTCCAGATGCACCATGAGATCAAACTCAAATAAAGAAGATAAAAAGCCAATGAAAATTATAACTGCTTTAGTAATTATTTTCCTTAAAACTTAATAAAAGTAATATGTTCAAAGGTAATATATTTTAAACCCATTATGTATACTATTAAGCCAATTATTACCTTTGTAATGATGTAAAGAAATTTAAAAGCCAGATGTACAAGAGCAGGAGGAGAATCACTATCCCTCACAATATCCAACAATAAATTCAACATCCATTCTATGAGAGAAAAAAAAGTCAAAATACCCAAGCATGAGTTATGAATTAAAAATAAATTTATGGTTGTGTGAGCATGTATGTACATGTGTTTTGCTGTATGTGTGTATTTTTTCTACATGTAGCTCAAGAGTAAAAGTAAAGCTTACAAAAGCAAAATTTGTCTGAACCTAATCATGAGAAGTAACAAATAAGAATTAAATTACTACAGATATGCAAAATGTCTGCATAAGACATACTACAGAAGTAGTTACAGCACTTTAAAGCTTGCATAGTGCTTTAACTACATCATCTCATTGGAGCCCCACAACTACTTTGTAAGGTGTATATTACAGATATGATTATCCCTATTTTATAGATGAGGAAATTAAAACTCATTAAGTGACTCTGTCTATCATCATAGGGGATAGATTTGAACCAAAGTTTCATGGACTTCAACTCTAGCACTCTAGCCACTAATGCCATTAATTACAAATCCAACCAGAGACATTGCTACAAAACTATCATGACCTAGCTAAAAATAATCATATAATCACCAATTTGCTTTCAATTTTTTTCCTTTGTTCTCAAACTCCACTGAAAATAAAACTAAATAAATGCTAACACATGTAAAAACTGAGTTCTTTCTCTAGGATCATGATCAGGCACATTTAAAAACAAACAAACATAGAAATTCCAACCTAGATGTGGATCCAACAGGTGAGGCTGTTCCTGGTACTTGTCCATTATCACTGAAAAATAAATGCAATTCAAATGAAGGGAAAACAAACAAAATCTAAGTCTGAATTACATTAAAATATTTATCAAGTGAAAATCCAAATTAATTTGCAAAAAGTTTAGTATTCATCTTTGTTGATGAAATGGACAACTCAAAATTCTTCCTAAACAGTTACATGGTTCTTAAAAATAGGCTCATTTCTTACCTTATGTAATTAATTGAAAGCTCTTAAGGATTTATGTTCCAAGCCTTACAAATAACAAGCACTTTTAAAGTATGTTGAACTTAACTGTGTTAATTGACACACTTAATATCCTTTAATAAATCAAACTGGCACTGATTTGTAGGCAACCTAAAAGAAAAATTAAGCCATGTCTAAATAAATACAAATGATAATCAAAAATAAAACAGGTAAGGTCAGAGTTTTTTGTTCTCTCAAGACTAATATAGCCAACATGATCCTTTGTCAGGTCACCAAGACCCTTAATCAGCAAATGCATTTTCACTGAAGTGGGTATGGAACGGTTAAGATTGCATGCTTATAAATGAGGAAACTGAGACCTAGGGAAGTCAAGTGATGTGTCCAAGGTCACAAAGATAGTAAATGGCAAAGGTGGGATTTGAACTCAGGTCTTCTAACTACAGAACCACTACTTTGTCCACTATCTCATCTTCAGAGTTATATCCTTCGAAGAACCATAGAATCTGAAAACTGGATGAAACCAGTTCCAGCAAAAGGTCTGGGTTAATAATCGTGAATAAATCCAGAACCCTTTTATCCCTGTAAAAACAGTGACAAATGTGCGAAACAAAGTAGTACAACAACAATAAACAAAGTAGTACAACAACAATAAAAACAAGAGAGGATGGAGAAGAATTCCTCAAAGTGAAAACCTTATCCAAAAGAAAAAAGACCCAATAGGGAAACTAAAGAAAATGCTTTAAAAAAAAAAAAGCCCCTCAGAAATGAATAGGAAGTAAAAGCAAGGAAAAAACTTCCAGAAAGAAATAACGATACAAAACAATATAAAAATAGAAGGCCCAGAACAACTTCCTAGTTGTTAAAAAGGTTCAACAGGGGAAATAAAGATCTAGAATCTATTTCTTTAAATGTACAGAAGATTCATAGACTTAGCTATCCTCAGCAATGCAAAGCAACTCCAAAAGACTCATGATGGAAAATGCTATCCACATCCAGAGAAAGAACTTTGAAGTCTGAATGCAGATGGAAGCATACTATTTGCTCTCCTTTTCTTTTTTCGTTTTCTTTTATTTCTTCTTTCTAGTGGTTCCTCCCATTAGTTCTAATTCTTCTATATACCAAGACTAATGTGAAAATATGCTTAAAATGAATGTATGAGTAGAGCCTATATCAGATTACACACCATCTTGGAGAGAGGGGAAGAGAAGGAGGAGGAGAAAATTTAAAACTCGGCCCCAGGAAAAACCTTGGAACAGCTGAAGCAGAAGAAAGATGGAGTGTAGCAGTCCAGTAGCCCAGGTAGCTTGAGGTAATGATTAACAGGAAAGGCCCCTCTTGCCCTTGGGGGAAGGAGAGTGGTATAGAAAAGAGTGGGGGGGATCCAAGCAAGCTAGCGGAAAGTTTCACCTCAGCATACCAGGAAGAGATCCTGAAAACCAGGTGGTGGAGCAGGCAAATACCAACACCTGGACCCCCGAGTGCCTCAGTGAGGGCACAGGAACCGGTGGAAACCAGCTTGGGAAACTACCAGGTGTCCCAGCATTCTACAGTAACTGGCTCTCCCAGTGTCTCAGCAAAACTAAGGGAAGCAGCGCTCCAAGGGACCCCAGGCAGATAAACATCCTGCAACATCCATCTGAAAGGAGAAGAAGAAAGTGAAAGGAAGGAAAGGCCCAGGTGATCTGGAAATTTCCAGGGGCTACACTACCCAATCTTACCTCTAGAGTTCCAGTGTTGCTGATTCCAGCCCGACACCAGGTAAGCTGCCAGAACCCTACAGCCTCCAATTGCCTAACACAAACCCAGCATAAAGCCAGTGACCAGGCCCTAGGCTCCCAACACAAGAAGCTCAGTCAGTGTCCTCTGCTCCCCAGCAGGAGAGCTCAATCTCTTTAAAGTCCAGGAAATAAGCAAACACCATGAGCAAAAAGAAACGTACGATAGATTCTTATTATGAGAACAGTGAAGATCAAGGCAGAAATTCTGAAGAGGACAACATTGCCAATAAACCCACATCTGGAACCTCAAAAGGGAATATGAACTGGTCTGAAGCCCAAAAAGCCTTCTTAGAAGAGCTCAAAAAGAATTTTAAAAGTCAAATGAGAGAGGTAGAAGAAAAAATGGGAAAAGAAATGAGAGGTATGCAAGAAAGAGTCAATAGCTTGAAAAAGGAAGGACAAAAATTAGCTGTAGAAAACAAGTCCTTAAAAAATACAATTGGTCAACTAGAAAAAAAAGTACACTAAAAACAAGTACCTAAAAAATACAATTGGTGAGGGGGAGGAGCCAAGATGGCAGAATAAAAGCAGTGACTTGCTTGAACCCTCCCCCAAATCCCTCCAAATACCTGTAAAAAATGGCTCTAAACAAATTCTAAAGCAGTAGAACCCACCAGAGTGAAACAAATTTACAGCCCAAGACAGCCTGGATGGTTGATTGGAAAGATATGTCGCGCCAGGTGGGGAGAGGAGCATAGTTCAGTGTGGGCGCACAGGCAAAACAGGCCTCAACAAATCTGGAGCAGGTCTCAGAGGACTTAATTGCTGGCAGTTGTGGCGGTTCCCAGACTTCTCAACCCACAAATGCTAAAGATAACTTAGAAGATCAGTGGGAAAAGTCTGTGACTATGGTGAGAGAGAAGCTTGGTCCCAGCCCCAGTCCCTGAACTCAGCCCCTGGGCAGTGGCTGCTTCCTGAGCTTCCGGTCCACAGACTGAGGGAGAATTGAGTGGCTGATCAGAGGGGGATTTCAGGGATCTCTCCGCTAGCCCAGGATTCTCTTGCTTTGCCGTGTTTAGATCTGGGTCACAATTCTGGGTGGCGGTCCTGGGACCAGGAAAAGTTCTGGCTTGATGGAGCTTGTGGTGGTGGTGGAGAGGAAATCCTCCTCACAGTTCCAAGGCAGAAAAGAGTGCTTGTGGTCACTCATAGACCTGAGCATAGGCCAGGAAAGGAGTAAACACCTCGCCCCTTATCATACCGCCTTGGAAGAACTGAAAATTTACAAGTCCCTAGAAGTATCTGTGAAAATAGCTGCACAAAACCCCCCGAAACCATGGGACAGTACATTCTCCACAGTGGAAGCAGACCCCTACCTTAACAAAGAGTTTAAAACTCAAGTAATTGGCTGGGATCACGAACAAACAAAGATTCAAAAAGAGTCAGATCACAGAATCTTACTTTGGTGACAAAGAAGATCAAAACATACAACCAGAAGAAGACAACAAAGTCAAAGCTCCTACATCCAAAGCCTCCAAGAAAAATATGAATGGGTTCCAGGTCACAGAAGAGTACAAAAAGGATTTTGAGAAGCAAGTAAGAGAAGTAGAGGAAAAACTGAGAGTGATGCAAGAAAATCACGAAAAACAAGTCAACAGGTTGCTAATGGAGACCCCAAAAAAAAAAAAAAATACTGAAGAAAATAACATCTTAAAAAATAGCCTAACCCAAATGGCAAAAGAGGTCCAAAAAGCCAATGAGGAAAAAAATGCCTTAAAAAGCAAAACTGGCCAAATGGAAAAGGAAGTCCAAAAGTTTATTGAAGAAAATACTTTCTTTAAAACTAGAATGGAGCAACTGGAAGCTAGTGACTTTATGAGAAATCAAGACACTGTAAAACAAATTCAAAGAATGAAAAAGTAGAAAACAATGTGAAATATCTTACTGGAAAAACAACTGACTTGGAAAATAGATCCAGGAGAGATAATTTAAAACTTACTGGACTATCTGAAAGCCATGATTAAAAAAAGAGCCAAGACATCATCTTTCAAGAAATTATCCAGTGGATACAGCATCAGCCCTGAAGTCAAAAGGACCTGAGTTCAAATCCGGCCACAGACCAAACACTTGACACTTACTAGCTGTGTGACCCTGGGCAAGCTATTTAATTCCAATTGCGTAACAAAAATAAAATTAATTAAAAAAAAAAAATTCTCAAGGAAAACTGCCCTGATATTTTAGAACCAGAGGGCAAAATAGAAATGGAAAGAATCCACCGATCTCCTCCTGAAAGAGATCCCCAAAGGAAAACTCCCAGGAATATTGTAGCCAAATTCCAGAGTTCCCAGGTCAAGGAGAAAATATTACAAGCAGCCAGAAAGAAACAATTCAAGTACTGTGGAAACACAATCAGGATAACACAAGATTTAGCAGCTTCTACATTAAGGGACCAGAGGGCTTGGAATATAATATTCCGGAGGGCAAAGGAGATAGGATTACAACCAAGAATCACCTACCCAGCAAAACTGAGCATAATCCTTCAGGGGAAAAAAGTGGATATTCAGTACAATAGAGAACTTCCAAGCATTCTTGATGAAAAGACCAGAGCTGAATAGAAAATTTCAGTTTCAGATACAAGACTCAAGAGAAACACAAAGAGGTAAGAAAACAGGAAAGATGTAAAAGAAAAAAAAAAGAAGTAAAGAAACTGGAAAGAGAAATCATAAGAGACTTATTAAGGTTGAACTGTTCACATTCTCCATGGAAAGATGATATTTGCAACTCATTAGTCCTTTGTCAGTATTAGATAGTTGGAGGGAAAAAATTATACGTATGTATGTATATAGATATATAGATAGACAGATAAATAGAGAGCACAGGGTGAGTTGAAGATGAAGGGGTGATATCTGGAAAATAAAATTAAGGGGTGAGAGAGGATAATACTGGGAGAAGGAGAAAGGGAGAGATTGAATGGGGTAAATTATCTCACATGAAACAGACAAAAAAGGCTTTTACAGTGGAGTGGAAACAGGGGAAGGTGAGAGGGAATGAGTGAATCTTATTCTCATAGGATTTGGCTTCAGGAGAAAATAA